TTAATTTCTCGTTCTTCTTGTTTCTTTTCTTTTTCCTCTAACAACTGCCGTAATTTCTCTTCTTGTTTAATTTCTCGTTCTTCTTGTTTCTTTTCTTTTTCCTCTAACAACTGCCGTAATTTCTCTTCTTGTTTAATTTCTCGTTCTTCTTGTTTCTTTTCTTTTTCCTCTAACAACTGCCGTAATTTCTCTTCTTGTTTAATTTCTCGTTCTTCTTGTTTCTTTTCTTTTTCCTCTAACAACTGCTGTAATTTCTCTTCTTGTTTCTTTTCTTTTCCTCTAACAACTGTTGTAATTTCTCTTCTCGTTCTTCTTGTTTCTTTTCTTTTTCCTTCAACAACTGTTGTAATCTCTTCTCTTCTTGTTTCTTTTCTTTTTCCTTCAACAACTGTTGTAATCTCTTCTCTTCTTGTTTCTTTTCGTGCTCTTGTATTGCTGCCATCAAGTCTGCTATGCTGTAGTTTGATTTGCCGCTTCTCGTTTCCATTTTTTTTATCCCACTCTCTGACACCAATTTGTTTCGTCTCCGGTTGTTAATTAATTTTCCGTAACTTCGTTCCGACGAAACTTAAGCGACACAAGTTCTTTCTTAATAAAAACTGGTTTATTCTTTTCGAATATAACTTTACCGATACACTCAACGTCAACAATCGCGCTAAACAAACGCTATAACAATGAACGTGCTCAATAATACTTCTGACTGCAGATCAATTACTCACTATCTATACACACATTACATTCCCCTCTTTTATATACCAGCCTACCCTATCTAGCAAATACTAGAGCATTCCTGAAAGAACAAGATAGTTCTAGAAACTAGAGGGCGCCACACCAGTCACGTGACCTCGATGACGCAACAGTATTTTGGCCAATTTACATGGAATTTGGTACAAAGATACCTTTTACAGGTCCCATACATATACGTATAAAAATGTGGGATATATCCATTTTTTGGGTCATTTTATGGGGTCAAAAGGTTAAATAAACCCATAATTTTAAGGATTTTGGTCAGTTACTTAGCCTTGTTTCTACCAATTTACATGGAAGTTTGTACAAAGATACTCTTTGCAGGTGCCAAACAGAGATATAGACAATTTTCGATTTTTCTCTGTTGT